GTCCAAACCACTGTCCCTCCTCTGGACATGCCCAAACCACTGTCCCTTCTCTGAAATGTCCAAACCACTGTCCCTCCTCTGACATGTCCAAACCACTGTCCCTCCTCTGAAATGTCCAAACCACTGTCCCTCCTCTGACATGTCCAAACCACTGTCCGTCCTCTGGACATGTCCAAACCATCTCAGTGTGTCCTCTCTAACTTTATCTCCCAGTTGTTCAACCTGTGCTGTACCTCTGATGATCTCATCTTATACATCTTTGTCTCTCCTAAGGAGAACCTCAACATCTTCATTTGTCACATCCAGTTCTGTCTTTTTGTCCATGTCTCTGTCTCCAGACCAGACAACATAGCTGGTCTCACCACTGTCTTGTAAACTTTTCCTTTGTCCATCCAGACGTACACTGAGCACTGTTTGCTAACACTTAGCATGATAAAACCAGCTACAAGTCGTGGGGTTAACTTCCCGCCTTGTTTGACGTCGTACGAGCGTAAACTTCTGTGATGAAACCACAACTCCAAATATTCTTCCTGGGTATGTGATGAAATCTGCAGTATCAAAGCTGGAAAAGATCAAGAAGTCATGGTTGCTTGTAACTTGTTGCTTCAGCTCCTTCAAACTTAGTTTGCACGTAGCTCTGAAACTCCAGAAGACTCTGATTGGCTGGAATGACAGTTCACCTGTGACTTCATTAGTTGTATTTTGTATCTCTTCGTAAACTTCTGTTGTCTCTGCACAAATCACGTGACACAGGTCTGTTTGACCCCCCCGGGGGGGGGGGGGGGGGTTGTATTACTAGTGCTTAGTGTATTATTGAACCAGCCACTAGGGAGCACCAGTCAGTGTATCTCTGGTTCTGGTCCCAAGCCCGGGTGATGGAACAGCATCCGATGTAAAACACTTCTGCCAAAACCATAATGTGAGTTCCTCAAAGTGAAACCAAACCGGATCGGTCGACCATGTTCCCTCTAAGCTGTGCGCCTGCGCACCACGTACTGCTCGCACAAAATCTACGCTGCGCACTTCAACTGGCCTCTCAATAAACTGTCAGGCTGAGGTGTGTACAGTCTGTATGCACAGTGGAGGACTGACTGTAGTACTGAGACGAGTGCTGTCTGTAGTACTGATACTGGTGCTGACTGTAGTACTGACTGTAGTACTGATACTAGTGCTGATTGTAGTACTGATACTAGTGCTGACTGTAGTACTGATACTAGTGCTGACTGTAGTATTGATACTAGTGCTGACTGTAGTACTGATACTAGTGCTGACTGTAGTACTGACTGTAGTACTGATACTAGTGCTGATTGTAGTACTGATACTAGTGCTGACTGTAGTACTGATACTAGTGCTGACTGTAGTACTGATACTAGTGCTGACTG